AGTTTTTTTTTCAATTTTTAACTTGAAGTACTCAATAAAAAGGGTAAGGGAATATTTTAAATATTTTTCCAGCGACAAACTTATCGAAGCCGGGGCTCGGCACTGGTTTTACTTTTTATAAACATGATATATTTATTATTTATAATATATATATATATATATATAAATTCTTCTGTGAGTGTGTATGTCACTGAACTTCTCTCAAACGACTGGACGATTTTGTGAAATTTTTTGTGTGTGTTCAAGGGGATCTGGGAATGGTTTAGATTCACAATTTGAATAATAATTTTCATCAAAAAAATTATTAAAAAAAGTTTGAAATTTTCAAATTAAAGACGTGTAGACAGGACAACGTCTGTCGGGTCCGCTAGTATATATATATAGTTGCGATTTGTATATAGTCTGGGTTGAGTTTTAATCTTGCCAAGCTTTTCCACGAAGGTCATCGGTTAAACGTGATATTGGTAAATCAACCAATTTAACTTTTAACCAACGAAATTTTTATCATTTATTTTCAAGTAGATTTTATCTCGCGGCGTATATCATGTCACGGCTACAAAATGTAAGATTAAGGAGCGCCTCTTGATATAATTGGATATTATAAAGGCTTCAATTCATTTACTTTTTGTGACTTTCCGAGGCGGTTGCCCTTTATCTTTGACCATTGTTTCATAATATTTAAGAATAAAAGTCAATGCTAATTTATTCACAACTAAAATATATTATAAAGTATAATTATTGCTTACAATTATACATTAACAACATAATTTATTATATAATATATACAAATACTGTTATATAAATCAAAGAAAATTTCAACAGACAAGTTAAAATGGCACGAAACATACTCGTACTTTTATTTATTATAAAATTAATGCAGCGAGTGAAAGAAGATAATCTATTATAAAGCACAGACATTTATAACACAATATAAATAAATATTATTCTTTTATATACTACAAATGATATTTTGATCTTAGTATAGAAGTTTCATATCACAAAAGAAAATAAATCTTTGTACCAATGTCGGTCTCCATTAACGTAACTGTTACTTTTATTGTCGATAATATCGACTTCGTGTTCTTAAAATTTCAACTAAGCTATTTGCTTATTAAAAGTGTGTGAGAGTAAAAAAATGTAGTTATTATGGATTTGATTATATTATTTTATATTTTGTTATGGTTTTCAAATATTTCAATTCATGCAGATAAATAAAATTGAAGTGTCTGTTTGTAATATCAAAATAAAATTTTTTACTAAATGCATATGACATTATGTAGGGTACTCATGAAAAAAAATGCAATTTTTTAATCTTTTGTCTGTCTGTCTGAAATAATATAATATAATCTTATTGAAATAAACATTATTATCGATACAGAGGCCGGATCTATAGTTTTTAGAATTTTTGTCTGTCTGTCTGTCTGTCTGCCTGTCTGTCTGTCTGTTACCGCATTACAGCAAAACCACTGGAGGGATTTTTAAGAAATTTGGTATGGTGATAGCTGGTTATCCGAGTCAACATATAGGATACTTTTTACCGCAGGAAAATATCTTATTTCTGAGAAAAAATACAAAAACTGCAATGTAAGAGTATACTAATTGTAAAACTTAAGAATTTGGTTTATGGTTATCTCAACTCGGGTGAAGCCGCGAGCAATGCTAGTTTAAAATATATTTGTATTTATCTCATTCTTATTTCATCACTCTTCCACCAAAGGCATACTATATTTATGACTGATTCAATAGGGTACATTCAAAGTAGTGCAATTGCTACATCAGGTATTAAATATGTAACAGAATCTCATTGCAGGTTGTCCTGTCCCGTGGTTGGCTATCAGTATTGCTTTCACTCTATTAGGTGTTTGTTTGAATAATTTAAAATAAAAACTATTAAATTCACCAACCATAATATCATATAAGTACGTTAACGTTTATGAGGGTTTATGGATATGGATATATGGACGTTTGGATGTATGTTTGTTACTCTTTCACAGCGTAAGTACTGAATAGATTTTGTTGAAACTTTACATTAAGCTTATACATTAGAGTATATATTATATAAATTATAATTTATTAAGATATAGTAATATATTAATGTACTATGTGGTAGGACTTGCGGGAAAACGCCAATACTACTATTATATTGTAAAGAGGAAAAAATGGTTTATTTGTTTTAAGCTCTAAAAGTACTTAACGGACTAAAAGCTAGATCAGTTAAAAGTAACATCGTAGGCTTTATTTTATTTGAAAAAAAATCTCATCATGAGATAATTTTGTTTTTAAACATTTATATAATTATATTGGGTAACTTTAAAGTATCAATATTAATTTTTTTAATTAATTTTCAATAGATAAACGTCTTAGAGCAATCGCTATGTATCGGGACTATAATTACTCTTTTTCGGCCTGTTGACTATATACTACTAGTATGTCCATTGACCATTCCATCTATTTCAGATGTTTTAAGCAGTGTAAGTATAACTACATGCAAAGTATCAAATTGACATTTGTAAAAACTTATTATATTTAATTTAGGCAGTGGTAGCCCAGTGGTGACGCGCTCGCTTGGGTATCCGAGCGAAGTGGGTTCAAATCCCGGGTCTCGCACCTCTGATATTTTCATGTGCGAATCATCTTCAACATGATTACCACTTGTCTTACGGTGAAGGAAAACATCGTAAGGAAACCTGCATGTCTGAGAGAACCTAGCAAGTTGACATGTGAAGTCCGCCAACCCGTACTTGGCCAGCGTGGTGGACTATGGCCTAATCCCCCTTGTATTGAAGGGAGGCCCGTGCTCAGTAGTGGGACGTTAAGAAGGGCTGAATACATACATTATATTTATTGATTCCTTCAATGAGTATTTTACTAACAGTTTCAGACCTATAATACTTCTTAATTTTCACAAAAGTGATGTTATAAGACAAAGATCACAGAAATTTGCATGACATTATGAAATAAATGATAAATGAAAATGAAACCACTTTCTCACAAATGGTCAACAGCTGTATAGTTTAAGGCCATGTGTCCAAACTGGTTCTGTTTTTCATCGTTAATCACAGAGGCAGATGTACGTTTTACCGTAAATGGTAGTGTACTTCACATAAATTTGAATGTAATAAAATAATTATATAACGTTAAATTTGTCGACAACATTCTTTTGAATATCATATTTTAAAAGGAGAATAATAATAGCATTTTATTATCATATGATGATGGTATGCTGATTAGTAATTGCTAAGTATAAACATTTTATTCTTACTTTGCATAACTAAGAAATAAATCTCAATGGAAACTTATGTCGACGCTTTAACTGACGACGCTTGTGGCTCAGTCTGTAGTGACCCTTGCGGTGCCAGCGGTCGCGGGTTCGAGTCCCGCTGGGGCCATTCATTTGTGTGATGGGCACGAATGTTTGTACTCCAGTCATGGGTGTTTACATGTATAATATGTATGTATTTAAAGTTATATATGTGTAGTGTATCAACTATCTGGTATCCATAACACAAGTCTCGTAGCTTACCATGGAACCAGATGGTGATGTGTGTCAATGTCCCAACATATTTATTCATTTATTTATTTATGTCACTTTTTTATAATCGAAAAAGATAGTGCTTAATTATTTCAAGGCAGAAAAAATTAACCTTGGCCATTTACTTTTGCATATCAGGTCTTTGTGGTTTTAAAACACTGTAGTTTTGTCAGGATGCGGGTTACCACTTTTGTTGCTCTAATTAACGTAATTGTTATGTTATACGTGTGAGCTATACCTATTACCTATCGATTTTTTTAGTAATCTATACCTACTTTATAAAATAGTAATGATACATCTTTAAGCAAATAGAAGGTGCTTAAAATCCTAAATATATGTCAAGATAAAACAAATAAAGTAAGTATTGATAATAATGTAACATTATAAGCTTAAACACAATTCAGAACTTAACTTATATAGAAAATTATTCAATATTTTTAGAACAGTAATCAGCGTCGATCTCTATTATCAAAATCGATGTCGCTTTTCTAGGGAATTATAATAAAATATTTTGTTATTTCTTCATTATATTTTAATATAGATTTTGCATACGTTCACTCATTTGTAAAAAGCACAAAACATACACACAAAGTATTCAAATTTCATTTACAATATTGGCACATGAAACTTGGAGGCACACTCGTTATGAACAATGTCCGTTTAAAATGATCTTTAATACCTAAATTATGGAATAATGAAACCCTTTATATAACAATAAAGCAATAGATACAAGAGCTGAAGTTTTGGAAGGAGATGAGTATGAAAATGTCTAGAACTAAATTACTAACACTAATATATCACAGTCGTTTGACAAGCCCTAATGATGATGGATGACCGGTGGTGAATTGTGGACGATGGCGTTGAATCTGCAAATAAAGTAGCTTTTAAGCTTTGCAAGTTGTTTTGTATATTTCATTCATGTGTAGTGTTATTTTTATGTTTTACTATTTTCCCCTTAAGTTATGAATTGTACAATTAAATTGTAAGAAATAGTTTAGTTCAAAATAAAGTATAAAAAAGTATCTCATATAACAAACTAGTAAAAATATCCTTTATGACGCCTAATACACAATGATGTTTTTAAAATAATGTAAGATGATTTAAAAACATGATTTTTTTAGGAAAAACTTGTATTCTTACCCATTGTGGTGGTCAGCAGTGTAGGTTACTTTACGGAAGGAGCCATCGGGTTGCAGCAGAGAGTACTCTCCCTTTACTACATCTCCATCACGAGTTTCATGCTGGGATTTGTGGTCACCAGTGTGGGGATCTTCCACGGAGTAAGAGTATCCATATTTAGGGTGAGCCTAAAAATAATAAAATGTAAGAACTATTCTGATATAATTCTACAATATTCATAGATTAGAAATAAAATTTAAATCAACATAGAGGCTAAAATTACTGAGTTGAAAATTAAATTTAATAAAAATAAAATAAAAAATAAAATTAATATAATTATTTCACTTACGAATTCACCAATATAATGATCTTCCTCGTGACCATGAGAAGCACCATGAGAAATGGGAGCCGCTTGAACTGAGGGGACGGAATGGATTACGGAAGTATGGATCGGTGCAGAATGGACCGCTTGACCAGAATGGTATGAAGGGGCAGCATGGACAGCGTAATGGGCAGGTACTTCGTGATGGACTACGTTGTGAGATACGGCTGGAGCATGGTGCAGGAAACCTGCATTGCATGTCGCCACCATAGCGAACAACGCCACAATCTGTAATATTAATACACCATGACTTATACGAGTATATTGACAAACAACCTAACACTGAGTCCCTAAATTTAAAAAATATTTCAAGTTGCTAAATAATTTGAAAACAATCTTTAAAGAAACTTCTGGAGCTGTCACTGATTTAAAAACATAATGACAGTTTGTTCTCTCCAAATTATGATAGCTGAAATTATCCTAAGCGCAAGTTACGTAAATACAATTCGTGAGGTTTTTAAAATGCTTACTTTGGAGAACATTTTGCTTTGGTTAGAATTAGCTTGTTGACTGTAGCTAGTTAGTTAGCGAAGTCTTTTTATATAACAAACAAAACACGAGCAGTTAGTTGGTGGGGCGCCTATCCCTGATATCCGATCGGATCACAGTAATTGCGTTGCCAATCTCCTCACTTTATCAGGTTGCGACACCCGATATGAGTAAAATATGTAAGAAAAAATGAACTGAATGAATTTCATCGTCACAATTTTTAGTAGTTATTGGATTTGTATATTATTTACTTATTGTTTTATTATTATGTAATTACTGAATAACTCTCTTACTTTAATGCGGATATTGTTTGTTATCTGAATATGGTAGTAACTTTTTAGGCAGTAATGAATATTGTTATGAAAAATTGCTATTTATTTAAATATTTTTATCGTGAAATCAATGGTCAATTAACTTTTTTCTTTTTAGACTTTCTTTTTATTATGTTTGTTAAATCTTCTTAAAATGATAAATAATTTAGTAAAAACCTTGAATTGATAGTTTTTAATTTTACCAAAGTAAAATAGTAGAAGATGATAGTCACGCCAAGATTTTCTTTACGTTCAACGCTGGTAATTGCGGATTTGATTTCTTTGTATCGATATTTATAGATTTTGCATTAAGCGAATGTTTTTCTTGTATAATATCAATAATAATATCGAAAACAAATTGTTTATTTTTATCTATTCTCTTTTCCATTACGTAGTTACTTTCACGACTACATAATTCAGCTACTAACGTGGCATATTTTGATTTGCAATTTGATTTTCTTGTGCAAGGGTCGGCAAAGGGCGTCCGTGAACCTCATGTTCTCATGAAAAAAATGCTATTTTTTTATCGGACATAAATGGACGAGACAAACATAATAGTAACCTAGTTAATATTGTATATTATTAGTTTTAATTTATGTTGAAAACTTAACCTTATCTCAATCTATTTCTACGCCATATTTGCATTTTTTGAAATCTGATTCGTGATTGAGAAAGCAAGAAAAATTCAAATATATTAATACATAAAAAAAGTTTTTTTTTATTAAATTAAACTATAAGTAGCAATTGACAAAATAATAATTCAGTATGGTAATACTTTTTGTTTCTTTTCCTTATTTTGTGCACATCCTTCTAATAAGTACAGGAATTGATCGATGAATTTTTGTAGTTGAATAAAATATAGTACCTATAAATTTTTATTTGCAGCATTATTATTTAACTTTCCTAAAGCTATATATGAACAATCGACTTAGATACATTGCCAAAAACAAACCAAAAGTAGAGAATGGAATGCGAAGTTACTACAGCTTCTTGTTAGGTATTACGTAGTGCTTATATTATTAGTACATACATACCTTTGTTCACTGAGGAAGTGTTTTGGTATAGAATTTTTTATTCTACAATTCTTCAGAAGGAATTGTTATATATTAGATATTGAAATGAAATTTATTAAGACATTTTATATGAGATAACACGTGGGCCACTATGAGTGGTTGAAAAAAGTTAAAATACATATTATATAAAATCGATTGTTACGAATTTACTACATCCGTTTGACCGGCTTTATAATTGTTGGGCAAGTTCAATGTATTTATATTTAAATATAAGCATGTTAATTATTATTGAAGCACTTATTACCCTCTTCAAAAATTTATAATTTACACAAATAACACATTTTGGATAAAATTTAATTTTTGCTTTAGAGTTCGTGACACGGATGGTTAAAAAATTCACGGCCAGTGATTAAAACATTTTAGATATACACGATTTGAGTAATAATAGTTTTTTTATGATAGCGAATATATTGGTAAAGTCCTACTGAATAAATGATAACGACAAGGCAAATAAGGTAATTTAAATAATCTTGTATGGTTATCTGATGTAAGTGCGGGGTAAGAACACGCGTGACGCGTTGTCATTCATGAGTGTCATTCAGATATACAAGTATACTCTACTGCGCCATACATTCGTTCAGATTAAGCAAGTAATCGCCAAGTATACTCTTTTTCATACTTTTTAAAAATCCAACTTTTTATATCCGGATTTTGTACTATTTCATACAAAATCTAGATAAGTACATTATGATCATGAGGATCTGGTAGTCGTTGCGTTAAAATACAAAATAAAAATATAGAAAACCAATAAACCAATATTTATTTGGCATAGCATAGTATTACTTCTATCTGTGTACTAAATTTCCTCTAAATCTGTCCAGTAGTTTGTGTCAGGTTCAGGTTACACATATATATTCGCACATTTTTAATAGTAGTTATTAGTAAAGATCACACTGTATATTCCTAAATAGTTTCAATGATTAAGAATTTCCTACTCAGTAAAAACGTTTTTTATCAACTAAAGCACTAACGGATATAAAGATTTAATGAATGAAAACCGGTCAGATCATTTCGTGTGCATTGCATTAAGTTATGCTCACTATACAGATTGCTTTAGTAGGTACAATAGTCTGAATGGTTATGTCATAGCACAAAATTATATATTCCAGATTCAAGAATGCTGCCCTTACGTAAATCAATTCCTGATGCAGTGTTAAAATTAAATCTGCGGTCTAATAGTTACCTAATAGAAGTTATGGGTAAAATCATTAGTAATTCATTAAGCTCCTTTTCGAACTTTCATTTTAAAATCATTTATTTATGTTTGAAATGCTATTTATATCAACATATTATATTATTATAAATTTACGTAATATTTATGACATGTTATAACTTTATCGTCTTCATTCTCTTCATATATTTCTCATCGAGAGTCCTTAGACCTTAGACACGGTAATGTCACGGTAACGTAATGCATAAATATTACCGTGGTAATGTAAATGTAATATTACCGTGCCTTAGATCTAATCTACTTTATATTATATAAATAATTCGCATTCATAAAACTTACGAAATCAACACCTACAAGTTACTCATATTTTCTACTTGGTCACATGAGCTCGGTTTTCTTAATTTTCATTTTAACTTATCTTTATGAGTATTTCTTAAGTTATAACAATTACTCTTACGACGCTTTTTTTTAAATAAATTACCGTCACTCAGAATAATTTGAATATTTCTTCATTTAATGTTGAAATTGTTATGCTTCTATTTTTAATACATAATTGCTCTACTGTGCTGTATAAAGTTTTATAAAATTTCGTTTATGAAAGTAAATGTACGGAATTTTGGTGAAATCGCTGACTATATTATAATATGATGAAGTCTTATATAGCACCATAAGAATTCTTATTTAACTCGTCACTCAGGCGCATGCCTAGGTATGATTTAAATTGTCCTAAATAACATACAGACGAACATAGAGCCTCCTCCTTTTAACAAGTCGGGTAAAAATAGTTATTGTGAGTTGTACTTAAGGAGATACACATATGCCATCGTGGGCTTTTCTGTAGTCCTTTTTAAGGGTTTAATATTCTAGTATACCTGTTGTTTTGATGCCTATTACTCTTAAAGTTCAACCAACCAGCGTACGCCATGTAAAAGTATGAAAACAGTTCATTTGCACAAATTATAAAAATAAATCTTCATCGCTTATCGCTGTTTCTGTTAGTTAAAACCGTATTAAAATCCATTGCGTGGCGTAGAAGAAGTAATTGGACAAACCTACTTGTTGTGCCAGCGGTTTTTTTGTTCCGGTTTGAGTCCCGCTTCAGGCATTCATTTGTGATCAATATATTTATATGTTTTTTTTTCTAATTTTTTCGAAACGGTAAAATTCTGGCAACAAAAAATGACGGGACTACCTCGGGACTAATTTTTAATCAATGCACTTTAAATAGCAAAATCGGTCAAGCTGTCTCTGTAAAAAAATATATATACAGACGAACGTAGAAACTCCTTTTTGGAAGTTGATGAAAATTTTCGATCTTCAATTTGTATTATTATATAAACAATAAATCACTATTTTATAAATTATGTTGTTATATATCTATATATATAATAAAATTGTAACTAAGCCGAATCTGTACATTAAATGATTTTCTAAAATCTTATTGAAATAAATATTATTATCGATACAGAGGCCGGATCTATAGTTTTTAGAATTTATGTTCATCACAGAAAAATTACTGGAGGGATTTTGATGAAATTTGGTATGGTGATAGCTGGTTATCCGGGTCAACATATAGTACACTTTTTACCGCGGGAAAATATCTCATTTCTGAGAAAAAATGCAAAAACTGAAATGTAAGAGTACAACTAATCTGTAAAAGTTAAGAATTTGGTTTTTGATCGGCACTAGACGAACACTAGCTATCGTTAATTAAATGCCACTTATTACGCATATATTAATTACTGGCAGGTCACCCTCGCTTCGCTCGGGTTCGTACAATCAGATCTATCCCACGGGAACCGGTCATTTTTCCGTGATAAAAGTAACCTGTTGTTTGACCAGCAATATAACGTATCAGCATACCACATTTTACTAAATTAGGTAGATGAGTTGTTGTGTACTAAGCTGTATAAGTATACAATAAGTTACTATAGTTATTTAACTATCCCATGGGAACTCTTTAATTTTCCGGGATGAAAAGCATCCAACATGTTGATCGGGAATAAATGGTACCACCCCGCAAAATTTCATTTAAATCAGTTTAACAGTTTCGGAGATTAGCCCGTACAAATAGACAAACAGACAGAGAAACAAAAAATTAAAAAAAAACCCCCTGACTCGGTTTTAAGCTTTTTTTTCTATGTACAGACATTCGACCTCTTACAGTGTTATTATATGTATAGATCATGCACGCCATCTACCCAACCATAGTACAATCACTTACTCTTGTACGAATATGAGAAATGTGAGCGCCATCTTACATTTTCAAGCTTGTAATACGTTATGACCATAAAATAATTCTTAAAATAATAAGCAAACACGTGTTGATATAAAAGAATGGATTATCGGGATAATATATTGTTATTATTGCAAAATAAATATTTTATTTTTGAAAAGTACTTATACTTTACAAAGTATAAGTAGTAATATTAGCGATTTAAGTAGAGTAAGAATGGTCGGTTTTCTATTAAGTAATTTTGATAGACTATCGACTATCGTGATTGCTTTCAAGTTTCTTTTTATCGGTATCATAAAAAAGTAGAATAGTTTATTAATATTAATTATTTAAACATTGTTTTATACATGCTATTATTTATTATATTTTAATCTTTTCATACATATATTGTAGTATACAAAATGGATTAACAAAAATAAAATAAATTATAACGCATCCTTATGAAAGTCCTTCATTTCATCTCTAAACAAAGAGTTCTTTTATAATTTAATTTTAAATTAAAAGTTTAGCAAGACCACATCAATATAATATAAATGATAAAATTATGTATAAGTGCTCATTGTGACTGCGCAGGCGTCGATATCGAACATTTTAGAACAACAGAATATATTTGCGAGTACAGTGTATCCCATCATATCCGGTCTATCGAATAAGATGGGTATGAATGCAAAAAAAGAGTTATATAAATCATTATTTGTGACTAGTGTATAATTGCCTCGGTTATGCTTAATTAACTTAATATCATTATCAGAAAGGAAAATCAAAAATATTTATAGTAACAGTTTTATTTATAAACAATAATAATAAATATAAACAATTTTCTAATTACAAAGTAATTATAAAATTAAACAAATAACAATTTAATAATTTTGTTAAATATTAAAATATTTATAATAAAACAAATTATTTAGAAACCCACATAATATATCTTAGAGTGATAATACGATGATGCTACTTCAGAATCATCGCGAGGATCTTCTTTGTATAATTTATCATTGTTAGGTTCTTCTACGTTTTCATTGCGTAGGACATTAAGTGGCATTTCGAAAACGGGCATTTTGGATGAACTTTCCACCTCAAGGCTATTTTTTTCATTCTTTGGTACAGGTACTTGTTCTATTTTTTCCTGATCAATTTCGAGCGGTGTTTCTATTACTACTTCTTGTGTTTTAGCTGGTGCCACATTTTTTTCGCTATTTTCCATACTAATAGGTTCCAATATCATAGTTTTATCAGCGGAATCATCGATATTCGGAATTTCTTTTTCTTCTTTTTTTATATCAACTACTTTTTCATTAACAGGTATTTCTGCTTTACTATCACTATTAGTCATGACTTCTTGATAATAATAGTCCTTATTCGGAAAGAAATGGTTAAATTGAACACCACTTACTATTGGCGCAAAATGTCTAGATTGACCAATTACGGAATAGGCATGATCACCATGTTTGTGGACACTCTTGCTAACTAAAGCGGTAAAACTGTAAATAAAATAAAATAAATCACTAGTAATAATTACTTTTACAAAAACCTATAACAATAGAATATTCATATTATTTCAAGCAAACAAAATAATATGGACATTAATTGTTTTAATATATTCAGAAAAGACAAAATTTCATACATATTGTTAATCATTATAGTAAACATAAATACCCATTGTGATCATCGGCATCATATTGCACTTTTCGTAAAGAGCCGTCAGGTTCAACGAGACTATACTCTCCACGAACTTTATGTCCATCTCTTGACTCGTGATGATGTTTGTGATCTCCCGTATTTTTATCAGATACTGCATATTCGAACTCATATTTTGGATAGGCCTAAAATAGTATAAAATTATTTTGATAATATTTATGTAAAGTAGGAAAATATATTTGTCTTAAATTATCCAAAATACTGTTAATAGTTTGTATAATATTTTTGTGGATAAATCGTTATGATATTAAGCGAACTTACAAATGTATTATATTTATATACCGGAAGAGAATTTGAGGGATAAAAATTGATCATCTGCCATGATTTTCCAGTATTAGACTTATACCCTTTGGTAAGGCCTTCCCTTGATTCTATGAGGACAGCAGAGCATGAACCAATAAAGAGTATTAAGAATATCATCTGTAAAGGTTGTAAAATATAAAAATCTGGGTTTTCAGAAAACTTATTTAAAATTATATAAATTAACAAAAAAATATGTATCTTACCTTATATCTTCTAAGTAACGCTTTATGTGAACCGTTGCTATTGGGATGTACCGGCGAACTGTTGATTAGGTGGACAATATTTTACCATTTTATACTTCTTTAATTTCTATTATATAAATTTGCTAAAAATGTTATCATCTTTGCTTCATCAATTCGTTATTGTGTAAGAATAATGTGGATTCGATACTTGTGATACCATCGTTGCTTTCTAAATTTATTGTCAAATTGAACATGTCATTGTTGTTTTCTCTGTTCTAGTTAGATTTATTAAAAAAAAATAGGATCAGATCCTACATATTATAGAGTTTATATCATTTCTAGATTTAACAAACTTAAAATGCGTATTTAAATTTGGGTAATCAAGCTATAGTTAATTATGATTAACACTTAAGTTCTATAAATTTTCTATCAAAATATTTTCTCTCTTACATTAATTATTGTTGTTTTGACTAATTTTAATTGAAACCGTAAAAATGAACCGTAAACTTGAACATAAAAGTGAACATGAACTTTCAAACACAAGTCTAACGTATTGATCTTGTCGAAACAAATCAAATAAGGTTAAACTCGAAGGGTTACCCATTGGGCTACTTCACTTTAAGGGATTACCGGACGCTAAAATTCCCCTTCATGATAAGGTGAAAACACTTTGTTCACTATTTTATACCCTGCCTCTACTGCTAGATTAGCTCCATGATATAATTTATTGGGATATTATGACACAGTAAAATTTATAAGCTTTATGAAGTAGATCTACGCATATTATACTAGCATTTTATATAAATACTGTTGCGATCATAGAAAATTTAAAAAGTTTATTTAGCACGCTAAGATTTTAGTGATTTAGAGATAAAATAATCCTATATCACGATAAGAATATATTTCGGATCTCTATTGTTATCTCTCAATTTCATTTGATTTTTATTCTAGTATATTGCGAGACAATTTATTATAGGAATGGGCTAAAGTTAATTAAAAAAATAGTTCAATTTTTCTTCTACTGTATGCAATTAACATAAAACAAATGCATGATCTCTTATTTAAAAAAAATCATATTATTCCCACAAGAAAGTAACTGATTATAATACCCTCTTAATTTGTATTTGTACATTTAATTTGTACCCTCTTTGTTTGTTTGCGGAGACTAGCTAACTGCTCAGTGCTCAGGTGAAATAAAATCTAGTAACTTTTTGAGCTTATTCCGGGATTCTAACCTTTATGATTTTCAGGCGTATATCAGCTCTTATACAGGGGTAATAAAATCAAAATTAAAGTTAATCGCATATTATTATTATATTAAATAAATAGTTCACAACCATTTGTTACAAATGGGTTACACATGTTAATGGTAATATTGGTGTACGGGGGCGGCGTATATGGGAGCCTTGATGGCGGGGGCATGGGTGGGGGCGCTGTTGTGCACGACGGCGTTGAAACCGTTGTGGTCGTCAGCAGAGTATTCCACGGACCTGATGGAACCGTCAGCCTCTAGGAAAGAGTATGAGCCCTTTACAACATCTCCGTCGCGGGATTCTTGTTGCTGTTTGTTGTCTCCAGAGTGTCCGTCAGCAACTGAGTAGTTGAACTCGTATTTAGGGTACGCCTAGAAATAAGAGTAGGTTTAGATAGATTCAGCATGGTTAGTAATAATAATTTATATATGTAGTAAAATAACTTACAATTTCTTCGTGTTGGGCGATCCCTTTTGTCACAGGGGCAGCATGGTAAGCGAAAGAGGCTGGAGCAGCATGGTAGGCAATGGGGGCAGGAGCGGAATGATAGACAACGGGAGCAGGTGCAGTGTGGTAGGCCACAGGGGTAGCGTGGTATGCAACTGGGGCTACAGCCAACTTGGTGACAGGGGAAAGTACTTTGGAAGCAACTATTTGAGGCTGATCGTGACGTACGATGCTTTGCGAGGATACAGCGGCAGCTGGAGAGTAGTGTATTGCAGCAGGCAAGAGTCCCGCAGAGGACACTGCCACTACAGCGCAAAAAGCTACAATCTGCAATGAAAATTATATTTATAGTAAGACGACAACAATATTTAATTATCTAGATTATTGTATTGCAAATATATTATGTCATAGGTACTTACTTTAGAGAACATTATATTAGACAAATAGTCAAGTTATGAATGATAAGTATGTGTACTAGTTCATGTATTTATATTCAGACATGGGTTTAAAGATAAGATTAGTAGTGGAAGCTGTCAAACAAGCTTATACGTGACCTTAGTTCACGCAAGTTCAGTGATTGATACGTTATTTCTCAATATAATCAAGCAATTTGCAGTAGGCGTGTCGATATTAACAATGTTTGTAGTGCTATATTTAAACACATGGTTAAAATAAAAATATAAGTTATATTTAATGTTAACCACTCATAAATACTGCTAATTCATTTTTAAGATATATTTGTAAATTAAATATCGATTTACTCTTGCTTCACTCGGGTACTTTTTATATAGATAAAAATATATGCTATCCGGACTTTTCTGTAGGATTTTTTAAGACCTACTGTTTTTTTGCCAAAACACCGCCCAGGTTTTTGTAACAAACAATAATTACAAATTATATACATAAACCTTTCTCGTTTATCGCTCTTTCTATTAGTGAAAACCGTGTTAAAATCCGTTGCGTGGCTTAGAACTTCAAGTAAGTGGAGAATCAGACAGACGCAGACAGTTAATTTGTTTTATACTACATATGTATAGATTTTTTTTGCTGGATTTATAGGTCACATTTTGGTTATTCCTCTATTTATAACTAAATTTTTGTTTTTAAAATATCCTTTATTTAAATACAAGCTGTGAGCCGGAATAGATTTTACATCAGAAATACATAAATGTATAAAGAAGCTTAAACATTTATTTCCACATTTCTAACTTCAAAAATGACTAGTTCCTATATAAATTTTATGCCATAATGTTAACTCCTCGTGGGGATGATTTCAATAATTCCTTATTATATTTGGTACTATTGTGCAAATTTTCATACTTCTAGACTCAACGATTAAGGCAATTACTTAGCAGTTGGTGTTAGAGCTTAATAAAGAACATATTATAAAAATTATTTTTGAAAAATTAACTTTAAACTGAGTAGTAAATACCTACTTCCGTAACTGGTTCTCGCCGTAAAAGTATCTGCTAGGAATAAGAAAAAAAATATAAGTCCATTAAATTATTAAAAATTGTTACTATACGAGTACGTCATAGTATAATGTTATCAGCAAATCTGTAACACTAAATAAAATATTGACAAAATTTAGTATTATTGCAAATAATATTACCTAAGCGCCTGGGCGAGGCACAGTCAATGTTAGAGCTAGCTTGTCAACCTCCCTCTCCTTTACATGTAATATAATAATTAGTATATAAACTAAGTACTCGCATTTTATTTTATCAATCAAGTACATATATTAATCATGTTTGCTAAAGTGAGTTGACTGGAATATATTTTTCTATATATTTATCTATATGTACCTATATAATGTACCTATACATTATCAATAACATGATTTTTTTTTTCAAAAAATTAATAATATTTTTTTTTCAGTTAGCAATCCTTTGCACTTTTGTGGCAGTGTCCACAGCTGTTTTCGTACCAACTGCAGTACACTACTCACCTGCTAGTGCTGTTTCATCACAAAGCATTGTGCGCCATGATCAACCCTCACTGGTTGCTGCCAAAGTTTATACCCCAGTGTCTAAGTTAGCCGTTGCCTCCCCCGCTGTCTACCATGCTGCCCCTGCTCCTATTGCTTACCATGCAGTTTCCACCCCCATCGCCTACCACACGCCCATCGCTAAAATTGTTTCCCAACATGAACAAATTGTAAGTATAATATTCATTACTCGGTTATAAAATCTTTTTATTCTATATATTTATTTAGTGTATAGTGAGATATGTTTCATTCATACATTCATACTATTAATATTATACCTATGTAAATAATGTGAGAATTTGGATGTTTTTTGGCCAACGTACCATATTCTGCACTAATAAAATAAAAAAAACGTAAAGCCGCGGACAGAAACTAGTACATGATAACTCCCTACTTCGCAGACCAAAATCAATGGATCAAGGACGTTACGTGGCGTGTGGCTACTTATGACCAATAAATGAATCATAGAAAAACCGGTCGTTTCGGATCAAACTCATAACCTTAGGCAAAAGCACATACAGTACTATTGTGCTACAATAGACATTGACTAATTCGAATGCTATAATTAATTATACCTAAAATAAAATAATTTTATATTTTAGGCCTACCCCAAATACGAGTTCAACTACTCAGTAGCTGACGGACACTCTGGAGACAACAAGCAGCAACAAGAATCTCGCGATGGAGATGTCGTGAAGGGCTCATACTCTTTCCTAGAGGCTGACGGTTCCATCAGGTCTGTTGAGTACTCTGCTGACGACCACAACGGTTTCAACGCCATCGTCCACAACAGCGCCCCCTCCCACGCCCCCGCCGCCCGCAAGGTTCCCGTATACGCCTCCCCCGTACACCAATTATACTACCACTAAAATGTTTAACCTTTTTATAGTAATAATTAGCTGTTGAATATTTATAAAAAAAAGAATAAAAAAATCAGAAAAATTATAACTATGTCTATTTAATCAATTATATCCTAACTACTAGCATGTCGAGGTAGAGGTGCTCATTAGTACTAAAGAATATCTGTGAAACAAATTTTCAAAGTCATTTAATTATTTTATTTGTAGAAAATTGAGATAGCAAATACACACATATATATATATATATATATATATATATATATATATATATATATATATATATATATATATATATATATATATATATATATATATGTAACAGGATGAAGTCAAAAAACATTATGTACCTAATTAATCAATAGCCTTGCCACAAAAGATTTTTAAATATTCAAAATTAAGCAAGTTTTATTAATTCCGTTCCAAATAAATTCTGTATATTTATATAATCATCCTAAAATCAATCACATATCAGTCCAACTTTGTTGTTTTTTAATAGTCCAATTTTAGTCAATTTTTTAAATAGTAGGTTGAGTTTGGATGTAGGCTTTACAACTGTATATAATATGGCTATAATAATGGCTGAATTTTTTACATGTGTATCAAAAGCTACTTACTATATGAGTTACTACGATGAGTAGTTACTTTTAACCGACTTAAAAAAGGAGGAGATTCACAATTCGACTGTATCTATTTTTTTTAAATTAATATTATTTTCTAGGGCTTCCAAAATTACAATTACTATTTGGTATCTTTTCTCTTATTAGTGCTTTGAATAGACAACAAAAATAATGTCACACGTTGCGCTGAATATCACTGATATGCAATAATATAACTGGGATAAATATGCCTTCATTTAGTTCAATATCAGTATACTTAGTTAAGACGGCTCTTTTACATTAATATTATATATTTACGAAATTTTGTGATTATGTGTGTATATTTGTTACTTTTTCACGAGTAAGCCAAAGCCAAAGGGTAAAACATGGCTTACTTGCCGTAATACATATGTATAGATTACTCTGGAAACCAATGTATTGAAAAAAACATCAACTTTATAAAATAGTTCTATAAAGTAGTGAGATACTATAAACATTATTTTTTTTAATCATACATTCAATAATTAAGGTTAACAATATACAAATGTTTACACATATCCATTACTAATGGTCTCACCATTTTTAACCCCCAACGCAAAAAGAGGGGTGTTATAAGTTTAACGTCGATGTCTGTCTGTCTGTGCGTGCGTGCGTGCGTGCGTGCGTGCGTGTTTGTGTGTGTGTGTGTCTGTCTGACATATCTGTATTGTCTGGCATCGGAGCTCTCAAACGGATGGACCGATTTCGATGCGGTTTTTCTTAGTTTAGTAGTTTACGGTAGTTCTTAGCTATTTTTGGTTAATATCGGTCCAGCAATGTAAGAGTATCAGCTCTTTTCCAAAAATAATGCATTTTGGCGTATGATTACACGATTAAGTGCTTCGTTAAATGACAATTAATTGGCGTAGGGGTTTTTTTAAAATTTTTAATTTATAATTATTTATTTATCAATGTGAAAGCATTATTTTACGAGTATATGAGAGTAATTAAATATTTACTTATTGTACCTACAATATTCATCATACCAATATTGTAAGTGCGCAAAGTGTGTGAGTACTTTTATTTACTTCATTCCGCTGTAATATTTCAATCAATTAAAGTGGAATTCCTTATGAAGATAGTCTATATCTGGATTCAACTACCACAATTACTATGTATCGATGTACCGATATATAAATATATATAGTATAATAAGTTTTACGAGTGTATTCCATAGTTAAGAAATGATTGATTCCCTATACAAACTTCCACCTCCCTTTTCACCCCCTTAAGGGATGATTTCCGAGATAACAACTATCCTATGCTCTTTCCAGGATCTTAAACTATACCCATACCAAATTTCATCTAAATCGGTTCTGTGAATTAAGTGAAAATGTAGCAGACAGACAATATTAGTAAAGGATAAGGACTAATAAAGTACGTTTCGTAATTAAAATCGTTGGAGCCTTTTCCGAGATACAGATTATATATACTCGTATATATATATATATATATATATATATATATATATATATATATATATATATATATATATATATATATATATATATATTGCTCATTTAAAGATATAAGATTATGATTTTAATAAAAACAAACAAGCCAGTCAAAGAAAACCACTCGCGGCGATGTTAATTTCAATAAACTATTTTACTATCCTTGGTTTTTTTATAAAGTGTAGTTAAATAACCATAATTAAATATTTTAAATAGCAATGACATACTTGGTTTACATATATTATAACATGTACTTAAAAGTCCTATATGAATGTGTGTGTTTTTTTCATTTATTGCATTCAACAATATACGCGTACACACCAGAAACAGTTTAAACTTGGTAAGCAAAATACTATTATATATATATATATATATATATATATATATATATATATATATATATATATATTATAATAACATTACCACGGCTCCACCCACGTTCAGATGACCAAAAACCAAATTTTTAGGTTTTACATATTAGTATACTCTTACATTGCAGTATTTGTAGTTTTTTCAGAAATCAGACATTTCGCGGTAAAAAGTATCCTATATTTTGACCCGGATTATCAGTGGTATTGCTGTGACGCGGTAACAGACAAACAGACAGACAAAAATTCTAAAAACTATAGATTCGGCCTCTGTATCGATAATATTGTCTATTGCAATAAGATTTTGTAAAAACTATTTAATGAACAGGTTGGGCTTAGTTACAATTTTATTATATGTATAGATAATGAAGTAGCTATTGATACTAATATTAATAATCCAAGTAAGTAAAATTAACTGCTCTTATAAATTCGTTGCTTAACAAAGTTCTGATGACGTTAATACGATTATATTATTATGTTTAAATTAAAAACGGGTGTATATTCAAATTATGCGTTTATTTACAATAAATAAATTATCAACAACGTTATCATCAGTAATCAATAATCAACAGTAATTAGTGTTGGTAGTATTGTTGTACGGGAGCCTTGAGGACGGCGTGAGCGTGAGCGTGGGCGGGGGCGCTGTTGTGCACGATGGCGTTGAAACCGTTGTGGTCGTCAGCAGAGTACTCCACAGTTCTGACGGAGCCGTCAGCCTCTAGGAAAGAGTATGAGCCCTTCACGACATCTCCGTCGCGGGATTCATGTTGCTGCTTGTTGTCTCCAGAGTGTCCGTCGGCTACTGAGTAGCTGAATTCGTATTTGGGGTGAGCCTTTAATAAAAATAATACTATAATTAATACACTGCGTACTTGTTATGTATTTTATATGTCCAAATCTAAATGGTAGTTATATACAATGTATGATGACTATTTGGATTTGTACCCTCATTAATATTCGTTTCAAATATATTTTTTGAATTACTTCATAGAAATTGATTCTTTAAAGTTCACAGATTTTTCCAGAGTTCATAGATATGAAGCCTAATATATCTTTTAAATTATTTTTTATGCATAAATAATGTTGGAAAGTTGTGTACTTACAATTTCTTCATGGTGGGCGAGCACCTTGGTAACAGGGGCAGCGTGGTAGGCAATCGAAGCAGGTGCAGCATGGTAAGAGAGTTGGGCGGGAGCAGCCTGGTAGGCGTAGGTAGCAGGGGCAGCTTGGTAGGCGTAGGCAGCGGGGGCAGCCTGGTAGGTAAGTTGAGATCCCAGAGCAAGTTTGGCTAGTTTAGGTGCTGAAGATTCATCGTGACGCACAATGTTTTGCGAAGAAGTAGCGGCGGCAGATGAGTAATGAGAAGGAGCAGCTTGGTAGGCATAGGTTGCGGGGGCAGCGTGGTATGCGAGGGTAGCGGGAGCCGCTTGGTAAGTCAGCTTGGCGTAGGGTTGTTGATCATGACGCACAATGTTTTGAGATGAAACAGCTTCCGCTGGAGAGTAATGTACCGCTGCTGGCAAAAGTCCAGCAGAGGACACTGCCACTACCGCGCAGAAAGTGACGATCTGAGAAAATTAACATAATTTTTATTAGTTTTAATTAATTAATGTATTCTTCTATACCATATTTTTCACATACTTACTTTGCTAAACATATTGATGAATACGTCGACCAAATGAGAATGATGAAAATATTATTTTCGTACTGGTTTTTATAGTCGTGAACCGAAATTAGATTACCTCAGATGACAAGTAGTGGAAGTAGTCAAACGTGCTTAAAGTTCAACCTTGCTGTAGGTCATAAATGTATCATGTATATCAATACATTCACTGAATTGGATTATTAATGCTAGTTGCAACATCGTAAAATATTATGTTCAATAGTAGGCGTATGACAAACGTATCTAACTAATGATAATATAAGATTGCATTAATATCTTGCAAACTTCATTGAGATTCTAGATTCATTCGGAAAAATAAAATATTTATCTATATTATATTAATTCAGAGTGTTATATGCGTTACTACTGCAGCAATTCTCTGTTGATATGCGAAGTCAAAAATTTTTTTAAAAGAATTAGAATATATTACATCCAAAATATTATCCCTGAAACACAATTGTTTGAAAAAAATATAATATACAACATTGACCTCGTTATAAATTTTATCAAATCTAAACTAGGTACTGCCTGGGGCTGAGCCCGCCATTTAATTTGTAGTTAGTCTACAATTACTAAGCATGGTCTCGACTTTGTATGGAGCACACAAAACTGAAATGATATGATGTACGTTAAGATTCCCTGGAGACCGATTGCTATAAATCCTGATAGCTATGTTTTACTTGTGCCTGTAAAATCAAAAAAAAACCTATTGAAATTGTTTAAAATAGATTAGAGTATCATCGTAAAAAAGGCATATTAATTACACATTTATGAAAGACACATTAAAACATTTAATATTAATTAATATTAATGTTAACTTTGACCTCGATATAGGTTCTTAAATGACGGCTGGTCATCTTAATATATTTTAATATATTTCATTTGCGACCTCCCCTTGATTCTTTAGAGCTTTAACTAATTCCCGTGCTTATTTCAGTAACATAGAAATTGTTGATATCACATTTGATGTACCGAGACAAAAATAAGTCTTTTTCCTTGACGACTCATAAATTATCTCGAGTTCGTCCCTTTTGTATAAAACCCTAAATTTTTTCTTCTCTTCCCTTATCTTCTCTGTTTGTCATCCGATTTTTTTTTTGTTTCGTAGCTATTGGATAGCTTTAGTGTCATGTCATCAATAGAAAAAAAATTAGGAAAATATTTTTTATATACCTAGATGGGTAAATTCTATTCATGTTTGTTTTCCTCTTTTCAATAATTCAATAATGATTATGGTAGAGTTTCGACCACTAGACGAACGATTTTATCAAATTACCCTTTAACCTGTTTGGCGCAAGCTGTTATGCATTAAGGGCGCACCGAGGCAATTACGAAACAATTGCATACGTTTGATCCCTTGCTGTATTGCTATTACTAAAACTTTAATTATGCAGTAATATGTAGGATAGTTAAGTATTTATTCTATAAATCGTACACTTTAGAAACACGATTACTTGTAGTTTCATCGATAGAAAAAAAAAGCAAAATGATCTCTAATAAAAACTAAAAAAAAACGACTTCCAGGCACTAAAATGTAAAAAATAACTAAACGGAGGTTTTCATTAAGAATAGATACCTAATCAGATATTTTTGAAGTCGGTGCCAGCCGACGCATAGGAAATCTAATATATTTGGATACGTAAAATACATATTTACCTATTAGATATTCATATCTTACAATATTATCCGCTGGATATATATATTCTAAATGAAAAAAAAGCTATATTCTAAATGAAAACCTCCGTTTAGTTATTTTTTACATTTTAGTGCCTGGAAGTCGGTTTTTTTAAGTTTTATTTTTATATTTTTAGTGTAGATATAATATGCAGGTAATTTGTAAGAAGAAAATATGTAGTATGCAGAATGTATGTATGTAGTATGCAGAAAATGCGTAATATGCAGGTAATTTGTAAGAAGAAAGTTTTAAATAACATATTCGATTAAACAATTTGTTTAAAAAATAATTTATTGTTGATTTTTTTTAAAACCGCTAAACCAATTTCGATAAAATTTATACGAGACCACCTGGGAAGTATACCCCTTCAAACAAAACAAAAATTTTCCAAATCGATTCAGGCGTCTTCGAGTAATAGGTGAACATACATAAAAAAAAAGATTCCGACGAATTGAGAACATCCTCGTTTTTGGAAGTCGTTTAAAAAACAAAATAAAAACCCTTAGTGCGGCGTAAATAATTCAAGGAACTTCATCAATCTTTTTATAAAAACAAAATTATACGTTTTCTATAAGTATACTTTACATATACAAAATGTGTATTTGTTTTAATAATACGAAGGAAATACATAAACTTCCCCTAAAATAATAAACGTTCCAGCCATCCTAGCCACATCCGCTCCCTCTGTCCGCTGTCGTCCTACTAAAATAAAAAGCTCGGTGCCCTCTTAACAATTGTTTATATTTATGTATAGAATAAATAGAATATAATAAGAAGTACTGTTTTTTGAATATATTTGGCTCTCAGCTCATATGTTTCCCTTACTGAATCGAAACTTTAATTTAATAAGGGTGTGCAATACAGGGATTAATTTGAATAAATTAGAATAGAACATTAGAGATTTTTCTGTAGGTATAAAATACTAGAATGCTTATACATTATGCTTAAAGTTTCAGTTTTATTTGAAAAAGCTTTCTATTTTAGAGATCAAATATTGTCTTTCAAGAATCAAGTACTGGGTTTTTATCTAGCTTATTTTTATATATTAAAATGTCCTACGAACGTTTTTCTATAACTATAGTAGTAAAGGTACCTGCCCTTACTGTCCCGTATCAAAAATCCACCCTGTATAATACTTAAAAAAATATAGATTATGTTATAATCTCTTTAGACTTAGTGAAGTATAAATATTCTTTTTAGTTTTGACCGGGGGCAAGGTCAATTACCAGTTCTTTAAAGTTCGATGTTGCTGATAAAGTTAGTATAAAATGAGAACACTTTTAAAACAACATTATTCAGTGCGCAAACACGAAACATTAATCAATACAATGTTCCCCAAGGTACTTAGCAAAATATAAAAAAGTGATAATTTATATTTTGAGGTATTAATTATGAACAAAAATATATATTAACTTTATTTTTATAGATTGTATCCCTCTGCGCTGTAGTGGCGGTGGCCTCTGCTGGCCTCGTGCCTGCCGCGGTGCACTACTCTTCAGCAGCTGCCGTATCCTCCCAAAGCATTGTCCGCCATGACGAGCCACAAGCCATTGGTGCTAAGTTCCTCGCCCCTGTTGCTAAGCTGGCGGTCGCTGCTCCAGTCTACCACGCCGCCCCTGCACATGTCGCTTACCAGTCTGCCCCTGCTACTTACTATCACGCTGCGCCTGTAGCAAAAGTACTGGCTCAACCTGAAGAAATTGTAAGTTTATAAAAATATTTTTAATATGGTTATTTTATGGTATATATAGACGTGTAGGACGAATAGACAGTCTGTTTTTAAATATTGTTATATTATGTTACTTTTAAAATTGTTTTTAAATGTTCATTATTCCCACTTTCAGGCCTACCCCAAATACGAATTCAACTACTCAGTAGCTGACGGACACTCTGGAGACAACAAGCAGCAACAAGAATCCCGCGACGGAGATGTCGTGAAGGGCTCATACTCTTTCTTAGAAGCTGACGGTTCCGTCAGGTCCGTGGAGTACTCTGCTGACGACCACAACGGTTTCAACGCCATCGTGCACAACAGCGCCCCCTCCCACGCTCACGCTCACGCCGTCCTCAAGGCTCCCGTACAACAATACTACCACTAAAAACTTCAGCAACTAGTCCAACCAATGATAATGTAACTGTCAACTATTTATTTATTACAATATACGAATAAGAAAACTAATACAATTTTTATTTGTGACTAGATATTACATTAGTTCGAGTATAAGCTGGGCTTGGTTTTGAATTTGCGAAATTCATAATTGTGATTCATATAATTACAAAATAGAAATTCTTCCTTTGCCTTGCTTTTGTGTCAATATGGCAAAAAATAGTCCGCATTACTCTTACCCCAGTGAGAATACCATTAAATTTGATATAATCGTTGCGAAGATTAGTTTCGCATAGAATTAGTATAAACAATTAGAAAAGTCTAAAAATTTAATAATTCTTTTAACATTTCAAAAATGTATAAGTAGAGATTCAAACCTATCTCAATGGATTTTTAAAGTTATGGATAGTACAAAAGAAGTGTGGTTTTATATAAAACTATCTTTTCGGATTTTTTTCTCGGATTTATTTTGATTTTTGGATCCCGACATTTCGAATGCTTTACAGCAGTCACGGTCACCTAAGAGACTCTCCCATGATCGAAAATATAAAAGATAAAAATGGAAAAGACAGTTTTATTGAAAATGTTAAATATGCACGTAAATTTAAGAAAGTAAAACGTGGTGTTAACGACCGTCCTGAATACATTATAAGGAAACCTACAAGTCTGAGTGATTGTAACTAGAGTTTTTTTACAAATCCACATTTGACTAGCGTAGTGGACTATGCATAACTGATTCGCATTGAGCTTAATGATCTGCTGCACAGAAAATGGTTGTTCAAACCCACATACCAGCTTAGAGGTTTTTACCGTAAGGAATGTCCTACCCAATCATTCAAAAGATCTACGTTGAGATAAAAGTCTACTCGGCCCTTTCAAAATGAATTTCAATATTCATTTAATGTGATATGTATGCATCATCGAGGTTCATTTATAAGTAGGCAATTTGATTTGCTCTAATATGGTCATCGATATACAGAAATATGAATGATGGTTCATAAATTGTGAAAACTATATTTTAGACTATTTAAATAATAGCCAAATCAAATGAAAATAGTTTTTAAAATTAGTTGTAGAAAATAATCACTGTTGTTCATAAATCATAATGTTTCATATTTTTTATGTGGACTTTTAGAAGATTCTGACAAAAACCATTTTAATTAGGCCGGTCTGTATTCAACTATTTTAGAGAAAAAAAAACACGTTTAGTCTAAAAGGTTTTCACTATTTTTTTTAAATACAAAGAACTTTCGAACCGCTAAAAATCGTTGAGCATAATATGTATATGAATGTTTGATCCACCAGTCATATTACACACTGTATATATTGCCAGTAAATTTTTATTATTTGGTTTTATTATTTGTATTTCATCATACCAAATTTCATCTAAATCTGTCCAATGGTTTTCTCGTGGTGCGGTCACAGACAGGCAGTCACACAGACAAAAATTCTAAAAAGTATAGATCCGGCCTCTGTATCGATAATAATGATTATTTCAATAAGATTTGACTCAGATTTTATTATATGTATAGTACTATAGATGATCATAAATACTGTTTTATTTATCTAAGATTTAGAACTTGTTAAAATATATCTATAGTACTGCTGGTCGAAGTGCTGTAATATGTCGTATGAAATTTTTTATAATGCATTCTATGGAAACCGTTCATATACAGACTTTAATGTATAAATTAAAATATCAAAACGGAATAACTAACTAGTTCAATTTTGTAAAGTAGGCATTAACCTTATGCCAATTTTAATTTTTACGTCCTATAAGTTCTAAGATAAGAATTAAGAAATTAAAGTACGTCTTTTCCATTTAATAATTAATTATACACGTTTTATTGCTTTTGGTTCACAAGAGTTCACATATTTAGCTTAACTCAGCCTCTGAACACTTATTATCATTAGGTACATGATGCATTTGCGTCAAAAAAATCACTTTACTTTTTTCACTTTTTTGTATTTCCGCTTGCCCTTCTCTTAGCTCTGAATTTCACCTGAACCCTCGATACGCTACAGCCCTTTTTATATGCATAAAAGTAGGATATATTAAAATTCTAAAATTTGAATATCTTATAGTACCTAATATCAATTCTTTTTGGGAAGATGATTAACTGTTTTTGTCCATAATTGAATTGTAGATAATGATTATTGTATTTTTTTATATAAACTAAATGCCTTTTAGACATTTCAAGATAGGTCCGTCCAATTTTGATTAGATTTTTACTATAGGGAATTGAAGTCACATAGAATATTTTTTAAACATCTAATATAGAGCAAAGATAGTCTTACAAGGCTTAGGCAAATCTAGGTTAGCATAAAATATACATATAATTTTGATCTTGTATTTTAAAGTTGTAATGATGAATACCTCATTTCAACTATTTTGAAACGATACTTAAAGTAAAATTAAAAATAATATAAATTTTCTTATTCGTATATTGCAATAAATAAATAGTTGACAGTTACATTATCATTGGTTGGACTAGTTGCTGAAGTTTTTAGTGGTAGTATTGTTGTACGGGAGCCTTGAGGACGGCGTGAGCCTGAGCGTGGGCGGGGGCGCTGTTGTGCACGATGGCGTTGAAACCGTTGTGGTCGTCAGCAGAGTACTCCACGGACCTGACGGAACCGTCAGCTTCTAAGAAAGAGTATGAGCCCTTCACGACATCTCCGTCGCGGGATTCTTGTTGCTGCTTGTTGTCTCCAGAGTGTCCGTCAGCTACTGAGTAGTTGAATTCGTATTTGGGGTAGGCCTGGAAGGGGGAATAATGAACATTTAAAAACAATTTTAAAAGTAACATAAAATAACAATATTTAAAATTAGACCGTCTATTCGTCCTCTAACAGGACGAATAAAAAATAATTATTAGTCCCTTATAAAATATATAAGTTATAAGGAAAGACGAATAGACTAATAAATAGGTAAGTAGAATAAGTATCTCGGCTCAGCTCGGTAGGTTAAGGTTTTTTTTTGCATATAGAAACTCCTGCACCTAAAAATCATTTGTTTTATATTACAAAACAAAAAAGTGGTAAATATTCTTACAAACCGATAACAGTCGAACGAATAGCAACAGCCTCCTTTATTTATTATATATTCGATTTATTAGAGTACAAATAATAATTTTGTATACGCCCTTATTTACCAATTTGCAAAAGAGGAGGAGGCTCTCAATTTGTCGGAATCCTTGTCTTTTTTATGTATGTTCATCGATTACTCGAAGACGCCTGAACCGATTTGGAATTTTTTTTTGTTTCGAAGGGTATATATTGGGTTCTAGTGGACAAGATTTCGAAAATATCTGATTAGGTATCTATTCTAAATGAAAACCCCCGTTTAGTAATTTTTTACATTTTAGTGCCTGGAAGTCGTTATTTTTAAGTTTTTATTTTAAGTATGAATAGCAAAAGCCTATTTAAAATATTTTTGTAAACTTACATTTTCTTCAGGTTGAGCCAGTACTTTTGCTACAGGCGCAGCGTGATAGTAAGTAGCAGGGGCAGACTGGTAAGCTACATGTGCGGGGGCGGAGTGGTAGACTGGAGCAGCGACCGCCAGCTTAGCAACAGGGGCGAGGATCTTAGCACCAATGGCTTGTGGCTCGTCATGGCGGACAATGCTTTGGGAAGATACTGCAGCTGCTGAAGAGTAGTGCACCGCGGCAGGCACGAGGCCAGCAGAGGCCACTGCCACTACAGCGCAGAGGGATACAATCTATAAAAATTAAAAAAACAAATAAAAATTATATAAAATTTTCATTTTATTTTAAGTATATTTATCAATTGTATTATGTAATTTAAGTATTATTGTTACGTACTTTAGAGATCATTGTATTGATTATTGTTTCGTGTTTGAACACTGATTAACTTTGTTACGAAAGCACTCTCATTTTATACCAAATTTATCGTCGGCATCGAGCTTAGAAGAACTTGTACAACTAAACGACCTTGCCTCAGGTCAAAATGACTAATTTATTTATACATTCACTAAGTCTTGAGAAATTATAACTTATTCTTTTACTCCTTCATTTATATTTAAATGATAGCAATAAAATAAAAAAAAAATTAAATTTAATCATTTTAATGTTGAAACTGCAAAGATTTTTGCTGAAGGAAATAACATGGAGTTCTATCGACTTGTCTTCGTATCACTTATTCTGGAACTACACCCTCTGCGTCCCTAAGTTACATCGTGGTGTTACGTTACGGGTACGGGTAGTCTACTTTTACATGTAAGCTCCCAATCTGTGTCTCTTAACAATCATAAATTATAAAGTTAGACCTCTCATCTCATTAAAACTCATAATATATTATCATACAATATATAATAACTTCATGAATATATTTATAACTAGCGGCTCACCCTCGCTTCGCTCGGATTCGTCACTAGGTACGTTTTAAATAGTTATTAGCCAGTGTTAGTCATGTAAATTATATATTTTTTTGTGATTTTTTTCGATGTGTTAATACTTATTATCCTATTCTGGACTAAGAGAAATCCAAAAAATCAAATATAAAAATTGGCCCAGCCGTTCTTGAGTTATAAATGGTGTAACTAACACGACTTTGTTTTATTTAAATATGTAGATTATATTTAGTGTAAAATAAAACAGTAGTACAATTTTAAGGATTTATTTTTAAACACTTCTTAAATTACAATAAAAATAAATATTAAATTTAACAATTATATAGACATCATGCTCTATATTTATAACTAGCGGCTCACCCTCGCTTCGCTCGGGTTCGTCGCTAGGTACGTTTTAAATAGATATAAAAAGAAAAAATCTTTCTTTCTCACATTTTAATTATATGTTTTAATACTTACCTATTCCGGACTAAGAGAAATCCAAAAATTAAAATATCATAAAAATTGGAACGCGGTCGAACGGGATAAAAAGTATCCTATGTCCTTCTCCTGGCTCTAAACTACCTCCCTGCCAATTTTCAGCTAAATCGGTTCAGCCGTTCTTGAGTTATAAGCGAAGTAACTAACACGACTTTCTTTTATATATATAGATTAGGTAGTGGGAAGTAGAGAGAACTTTGGTGTAATTCGTTTTTAGGTTTGTTTTGTTGTATATTTTTATATTCGTTCACTGGCGCCTTGTATGGAGTACGCGCAAAGTTATACGAACGCGCTACATTTAAGTGTAGGGGAGGTACTCTAACATATGGATTAAAAACCGGTTGAATTTGAGAATTTTCCAGTGTCCAAATTACTCGAATATTTCTGAAAAAAAAGATACATTGAGTATTTTTAAGTATTTAATAAGAAAATATTGCATTTAATTTCAAATATTGTCAATAATTGTATACCTACTTTAAAGGTTTTTCCTCTTTAAATTCATTTGATTTTTGTATATTATAAATGGTTTTAGATTTCCATGGTTCAGGTATTTCTTTTTGCTGGAAACAATATGTATTTGTCATGTTAAGTTTTATTTATAAAATTTTATATATTTTTACATTCTTTTAAAATTTTCCATTACCTGTGTAAAGTGTACATCATTTATTGGCTGCCTAATATCGAATTCCTTACCATATTTTACTTTATCAAGCGTAGGGGGTTCGATATTATATCCACCTATCAATTGAAGTGTTGTTGGTCGTGTATTTGATGTCTTATTGGTATCACGCTGTCGTGGTTCTAAATGTTCTCTTATATTTTGTTTATTAGTTGTCAAATAAGCTTCATTTCGATTAGGGACAATCGCTTGAGTATACAGATTATTTTTTTCCTTCGCACTAAATGTTAAAGGAGCGTATTGTATGCTTTTATAAGCTTCTGGATTAATATAGCGTTGTTGATGTTGATTTAAATTATTGTCTCTAGATTTTTCCGTTGAATATATGTGGATTGCACTATACTTGTAGGAAAGTGGTACATCATCTCGATGGACACTTATAGAAGACACAGCTTGCTTTGAACTATCACCCAAACACAACACAATTAACAGTGATCCAATCGAAATCTAGAATATAAATTTGTATAAAGCTGTAATAATAAGCTTCAATAAATAAAGAATAATAAACACACACTAAAACTTACATGCAAATACATCTTGACGAAAGCTTGGCACACCTGTCGGAAGTGTCGTTCCAATGCAAAATACATCACTTATATACGTACACTAATCACAAAGAGAAATTAGCTGTTATATAACTATTATTATATTTTGATATGTAGAGTAATTGTTCGCTTGCTTCCGGAGTACGTCCTATGAAACCAATCAAACCTTTCACCTACTTAATTCAAGACAATTATGTTTGCAAAACGTCGTTCATTCTGAGCCAGAGATGATATAGACATGTTTAAATTTTAGAATCAATGATATCATTGTTTACGATACCATTATTGCATCGAGAGTATTATTTGTATTGTATAAGTATATTTTTAATATTCTTTATTATTGTAATTCAAAGTTTATCATTCCAATAGTAAAACATGCGCAGCAGTTGAAAATTAATTAACAATAATCAAAGTTTAGTATTTTATGATTAAAATATAAAAAAATAGCATGCAGGACGCTTTTTCAGGCCTTTTTACGTATAAAATGCATTAAAATCGCATCATATATCAAGATACTTATCTAAATTACAATTTGAATTAATTAATAATTTTTTAATTTAATAATACATTAATAATTTACTTAATTTAATTTAAATTGGAAAGAATTATATCAATGTTATCAAAAACTCTATCCTACAAAATATTATGTATTGGTTCAAAATGGACTATTACTGTGGCTCTGTGGGTGTAGCACGGATTATTTGCTAATGGGAATATCGCACAGGATGAATTTTCAGAAAGGAGAGATAACACAAACAGAGAGAGAGAGAGAAAGAGAAAGAGAGGGGGGGAATTGTCATTATATGTTTTTAACAAGTCAAAGTATTTCTTAATGAGTTTTATTTTATTAAGGGAAATAAATCATAAATCAAAGTCAACAGTGAAATGCTTTCACCGTATATTAAGAGACCGATACCGATACTTAATATCTTTTGATCATAAGGGCGATATTGACTTTATATAAAAAAATAGCAGTTTAATGATATATGTACAAAAAAAAGGTACTTTCATGCTCGATAATACTTTTTATAGAGTGGATAATATATTTATAATGACTTGGAGAAGTTTAAATAAGTCATATTCATTTATTCAAAATTACTATACTCTAATATATAAATACATGATACAGTACGATAGATAGACTATATACATAGGTATTGAAAAGCAGGTAATTACCTACTTCAAAAAAACAATTTTCCCCTATTTTACCTTGATTGGTCATAATCGCCAAAGTATTCTTTATTTCATACCAAAATTATAGGATATAATGAATTTTTTGTCCATAAATTACGACAATAAGTATTCAAGGTCTTATCTCTCTCTATACCAAACTCCATCAAAATTGGTTCAGCGGTTTAGGTGTAAAAACTTAACAGACAGACAGAGTTACTTTCGCATTTATAATATAAGTATGGATGGATAAATTTTTTTTTAATTACAAAGGCAATAACTACGCTTTATTCATATTCTTTCCTAAACTTTATATAACTTAAATGTAGGTATTGAAGATAAATTATTTTTCATAAAGTACTCTATTTATAAATGTATCTTCTTATATAACAAAGGTTTAATAGGATCAAGTTAGATTTAAGTTATTGTTACGATAACTGATCTTAATAAACGAGTTGTTCATATGTCGAGCCACGTTGTTGACACGATCTCATGCTTTTAGAGGCCAATGCCTCGGGCGCTCAATATGTCCAATTCATAAGATTAAAAGTAGTTAATTATAATTACATATAAAGGTCAATAGTGTGCAGGGTTTGTAATATCCGTTGGGCAAAAATCTGCAGAAATACTACTTGACTCAGCGCTGGATTTATACTAGGTACACTCGGGGTTAGTGCCCAAGGCGGCAAATTTTTAGGGGCGGCAAATTCGGAGGGTGGCAAAATATTATCTTCGCGTTATCGAAAACGCTTTCTTTATTTTCTAAAAAAAAATTAGCAATTCAAAAAAATAACTCGTACATTTTTCCAAAAATTTAAATATTTATAAATATTTTTTTTTGCATTTAAAAAAAAATATAATTATAAAAAACTTAACTTATCTAAATTTTGCCCATTTTATGCAAAATTTCTATAATAGGGCGGCATTTTTTACTATGTCCAGGGGCGGCGCTAAGGTTGAATCGGCCCTGATTAGACTCATAACCCTCACAGAGGAAATATAATGATATTTTTTATTGCTCTGGATAGACTTAAAAACTAAATTACCTTGTTATTGCTGTATTTTTGAGGTTAGGATAAATATTTTAAAACGTGAATGTAACTCAATTTGGTTTTTTTGCACACTTAAACAGCTGAACGGATATTAACGCAATTTGGCAAAGATATAGATTGCATCATGGGAACGGACATAGCCTACCTTTTATCTTCACCCCGTTTACCATGGATGAGAGCCGCGGGCATAGCCTAGTTACATAAAATTTGTTCAGGTTATCTATTAGTGAGTTGTGGTAAGATCTTGATATCCTTTCACTTGGACCACAATCACTATTACGAATAAATTTAAATCTGTAATGCAACATGTGAGGCTCGAGCCGGCAAAATATTTAGCATATATTTGCGACCTCAAAACTAGGTCACAATATGTAATATGTTTGTCACAATATATATAATGTTTTATTAAAGACGGACATTTTATCTTTTATACTTGATATATCTTCATACATTCGTGTGTTTATTAAACCTTTTTATAGATTTTCACACATTGTTATACCTATTACTGCTTTCTCTGTGATTAAGAGGCTGAAAAGAACCCACGTGTTTTCAGTAGACAGCAAGGCACTGGCCTTGCTGCTCTGTCTGTCATTACCTACCGCTCAACCTACCTGCTTATAGTTTGGCAACTGATTACAGGCGACTACCACAAAAAAAAGTTATTGTATTGCATATGATACAAAGATAAATGTTCCATTTGTGTAAAAAAAGCGATAATATTAACCTACGTACTAAATTAAGTTTGTTTTTAAAGCATATTGATATAATCAAAGTTACAATATGCGGAGGTTGTAAAAAGCGTTACTCAAAACAATAAAAAATTAAAAAGATGATAATGTATATATGTTCCACCATGTTGCTTTTACAGTTAAATTACAATTAGTTTTATAATTCGATACTAAGCAATACCTATCCTTATTTACTTCTTCTTCTTCTTCTTCTCCCTGCCCATTTCCCAAATCACTTGGGGTCGGCGCAGTACATCTTCAGTATACTGCTGATAGGATTTGGCAAAAGTTTTACGACCGGCCGCCTGCCTGACGTCAACCCTCCTTGGGAATGCTATTGTCTTTCTTTGTCTGAATGGTGTTAAATATTATGCACTTTCGATTTTGTTGTGTTTTAAAACATTTTTTATACTATTAATTCAATTATTAATGTTATTTTTGGGTATATTTTAAAATAAATTTCGATTACACAATAAATTTTGTATTGACGTTGTCAAATTACTACATAAAAAATTAAATGAATTAGTTTTCATAAAAAAAAATATTTGCTTTGCACATAAAAAAAGGATTAGAAATGGTGACTTAGCAAGCCTAATCTGTCAGCATAACGCATTCTGATATAAATATAATAGTCTAAAAATACTTAACAACATTAAAAAAACATTTTTCGGTAATGATTTTGTTACGGTACATTTTAATACTAGCGGCTTACCCTCGCTTCACTCAGGTTCGTCTCTATTGAAAATCAAAAACAAATACATCCCATGGGAACCTTGTATGTTTTCGGTATAAAAGTAGCCTATGAGATTTTTCAGACTATAATCTATTTCTGTGCCAAACACCTAGATCCGTTCAGCCGTACTGGGGTGATTGAGTAACAGACACCTATTCAAACTTTCGCATTTATATAGTAGTTAGATTAGTAAGTAGATATTTTCATGTTTGATCCTTTTGGGATGGTGAGACAAACTACTATTAGGAGTAAGTTAGTAGGTAAATAGATTTAGAATGATTGACATATAAAGGTCTTACGAAATTATCCGTATATATAATACCGTTCCGTTTTGCATTCTTTTTGTTTTGATTATATTTAAATCTATCTATATTTATTGATTTCTTTTGAAAAAGAAACCCATTTTGAATGGAATTATGCCACACTAATTTTACTATTTAATATTTTTCATAACGCACCTAGGGTTTATATTTGTAAATTACAAACCAATAGCGTATTAATACATTGTGATCTCGGTCGCACGTAACAAGTGCAATTTGCTGTAAGGCGCAAAAGACTAAATATGTTGCATTTCGTGTTAGAAAAATTGCGTTGTACAGCTTTATATCTCGGAAGGAGTTTTCAATGGTTAAAATATACTTACTATGATACTGTTCTGTTATATAAAAAATAGATTTTATAAGTGTAGGTAAACATAAAATAAAACTCATAGATGATCTGAAGAATACTACACAGCTAAATCACTGCGCGTGCTTGTGTTTTATTAATTAGCGTCATTACTAAATTGGTTGTGATCAGTTGTTTTAACATAGTTCAGCTTACTATACAGATAAATAAAATTGAAGTTTCTGTTTGTAATGTCAAAATAACAGCTTTTTACTAAATGCATATGGATGTATACACGGTACATATATCAAAACAAACATTTTTTTACAATTTTTGTCTGTCTGTTTGTTCCGGCTAATCTATGAAATGGCTGGAACGATTTTGACGGGACTTTCACTGGCAGATAGCTGATGTAATAAGGAATAACTTACGCTACTTTTATTTTAGAAAAAAAATAGGGTCCCACGAAAAATAATGAAAACCAATGAAAAATTTAATAATATACGATTCAAATAGGGAAGGTGTATACATAAAAACTTGTTTATTAATTTATTTCATTTAATTAAATAATTATATACAAGTATTTAAATAATGATTTAAGTGGAATTAATGGTGAGCAAGGATATGTGCTGGAGCCGAAATAACATGTTTGGCTGGGGCAGAGTTGCTGACCACTGCGTTGAATCCATTGTGTGCGTCAGCGGTGTACTGAACTGTGCGAATGGAGCCGTCGGCTTCGACAAGCGAGTACTCGCC